AAAGTTTGTGTAGGGTGACAATCGCACACAAATTTGGTTAAAATGGTCTTTTTATACAGGTTCTCCTCAAAACATTAAACGTTATTTCCCGTCACACCTACAAGCAAACATAACTCGAAGAAGTTTATTCAGGGTGTCCTCTGCACGAATACTAGTAGTCTGACACACGTCTGTTGCTAGGGGTCATATCCATCTTGCCTAACTCTGTAACGTGTTGTAAAGTTAGTCAGGAGGAACCTGCCTCACTAACACTTGCAGTGCCAGACACTTTCTGTTATCTCTCTCATTGGCATTCAGGGAAAATACTAATGTCATCTGTTATGCATACAAATTACCCATAACAATGATATAACGCAGGTTGTGTGATAAGAGGCTGCCATGACATTCAACCTTTCATTATGTTGTCTAATTGAAGTATGCAGTAGTCTAAAGGCAACATTCTATATCACTGGTCTCTGCACATTTTTGATTACAAACTGGCCAACAGCAGGTATTGGGAAGTACCTTTGTATCCGATATCAGTGAAAGTCATCTATGTGACTGCTTGTAGAGATTACAAAGCTACTTAATGGAGGGGCAAGGTCAGATTTTATGGGGAATCACCGGGATAAAGTCTATAATTCCTTTAGGCTTGAGTGGGGAGGAATAATGCATGAGGGGGCCAAGTGCCCGGTGTACAGATGAACACAGGGGCTTAGCCGTCCTCAGATATGGCACCGAACTAAATGAGTCGAAGCATTTGATGTCTGTACTTGCTGATTTTAATTTTTACAGGATACTTTGTTGCCTTTAGATAGTGCATTTAACCAATCTCAGTCTCCATCGCCATATCAAATTTACTGTTATTAGAGTATTATATGTAGTACAACAGTACAGTAAGAAAATACTGTAACTTCATTTGATAAGTTCACAGAAAGAAAACAAAATAATTAATGCAAAGAAAAGGACAAGATCTACATACAGTATCTTAAACTAATGGAAGAAATGCACGCCTTACAGAGTCCCACACCGACAGCATTTGTGTAGGTATGAAATGTCAATCATAATGCTATTGGAGGAACCTCTATATCAGTGGGGTCAATAGCCATTGCCCTTCGAGTCATTATTGGGGTCATGTAATTTGTTTTACTGTACCTCGGTAATGTCCTTCTGTGCAGTTGGGTTATGATATTGCAGATGGCTTTATTTGCATATTACTGAGGCTTTTGAAAGTGAGGAAAAGTACATGTATATACTTGTACATATACATGTCTGTATTGATGTACATTTGTACATGTAGATATGTATATATTGGATATGTTTTTGACTGTGTAAACAGCTAGATCATGGCAACACTTTGAACATTGACTACAAATGCACTTATGTGTCGTTACACTTGTCTTTAGTGAAAAATAGCTGAAGATACACAATGTACAGTAGCTTGTACTAATAATGATAATATGTAGATTTACATGTAATTAGAAAGTAGCAGCACATTTGCAATTTACAAACTAATTCTGCACTAGTAAGTATATACTAATTTATAGCATTTACAACTAGAAGCAAGTAAGCCAATAAATACTAAAATAGTTTTAGATGTAATTTTCAGCACTCTTGATTCAGTCTTGAACCACTTCCAAGTTTACTGCAGTCTTGTCTTGTTTTATATATGGGCCCCGTAATAAATGGGTTGATATTCATGATGTACGTACTTTATGTGGAGAAACAATAAAACATACTGCTGACCAACTGTGAGGTCCTCTCTTTAATAAACAACGTACATATAAACTGTAATGATTCAAACTTTTATTCACAGTTGTTCAATAACTTTAAGTGTTGCCAGTAAAGTTTAGTTTCGTCAGCGCTGTAAATTCTGGTCCTAAGGCTGCCCTTATGGCGAGAAGGTTACACGAGACGACGTAAAATACAGGCGGATTGTAGTTCAATATTGGGTAAATCCGCGCACTGCCGTTTATTGGTAAGTTTTACTGCCTTGAATCCATCATGTTGGTAAAGGGTTGAGGGTCTGAGCTTGGCGGGATTTGCCAGCTGACCTTTGCTTATGACTTGGGTAGGAAATGAATGAGATCAGACTGGGAATTGGATGTACTGACAAAGGGACATGGTTTGCAATCTGCCCGGGAGGAGCCTGCATTTTTCAGGGCCAGGAATCAATGCTGCTTTTATCGGATGCGGACCGAAGTAAAGGTCCTGATTTACCTTCAGTGCCACGAGTCAAATTTGTTGTGCTTATTTCCTAATGTTCCGAATCATTTCGGATATATATTTTTACTGCAGTTTGTTGCCCTCTTAAAACTTACAATATACTATTTTATTAATTTATTATCATTATTAGTATTTACAAATTCTCATCAGCAAGGGGAAAACATGGTGTGTCTTACCTTGAATTACTAGTATGAATTACATTTTTTAAACATTACATTTTTTCTTGAACAAAGGTGATGTTGTCTAATTGGTTCAAGCATTTACATACACTACATTACTACACGATGCAGAATATTGTTTTCCCCATCACATAGAGTTCTCTTCAAACATTGTATATTGATATAATAGTCTCCATTTTGTATGAATTCTGTAGTGTGGGTCCCACACCAGCTTGAACAGGATTCCTTTCACTGCACCCTCCCTTACAAGTGTTTGTTGAACAAACATGTGGAGACAAGGCAAATACAGGGCCTGACAAAACACTGGCCACTTCACTTCCAATGGATCAACACAACCTCCTGTTACACATGTACTTACACTAACATATGTATTACATATTCATTGAATTGAATGGAGTGAACTGGAATGGAATGATATAATATATAACTTTTTTATAAGGAACTACAGCAATGAAAATATTACTTTATGTACCTCTGAGACTAAAGAATATACATGCAAAGAAAGTGAGAAAGAGAATGTAAGATGTGAAAAACATGGAATGGATTTTTAAAAATGGTTGAAGACTAAAAGTAAAAATACTTAAGTACACATGTATACTCCACCTGTGCCATCCAAAAGATGATAGAAAACTATGATTTTGTAGCTTGTACAGAGTTTATTTTGATATGGAAATTTTTGCACAAACTCCCTGGTATTGTCCAATGTTGCACCTGTAGTATGTTTGTTAACAAACAAAGCACCATGGGGCCTATGTAATTGTAAGCTACTGTAAGTCTCTTTAGATTCGCGGGGCCTAAAGTTCGCGGTTTCGGGAAAATGGACAATCCGCGGTATTTTTAGATTCGCGATTTCTCCTTGGCTATTTTTCAAAGAAAAATTTGTAAAGTGTATATTTAAAATAATAAAAGTTCGTGTTCCGGCATTTATATCCTAAAACGCGACGCAAAAATTTGTTTCGTGCACCGCGCGAGACTGCCGGCGGTATAGCTGACGATCGATCTGACTCACGTGTAAACAATTTTCTTTGTTCGGAAATACTAGTAAGCGCTAAAACGCTATTTTCCACGACTACACATCGATACTCTAGTGAAGAAATGCATAATCGAAAGAATCTTTCGGGAAAATATATATTACAAAGAATATTTATGCCGTCTTCGGCGAGATTTTGAACCCGGAAGTATGCAAAGGTCGCCTACGGTTTTGTAGCGGCCCACGGTAGCGTTTCTATCCAGCAAAACAAGAAGAAAAAAAAACGCCCGCAAAGCAGGGCGCAAAGGAGAACCAACTAACACTTCTCAGGTACCAGCAGTTATATTTTTCATCAAAATATTTGTAGATTTGCCCGATGTGCCCGCAATTTTCAACCGCCCGGGCGCGCATGGCCGGCGCTCAGCACACAGAGATTTTTGTCCGGCGGTGCACGTTTGACAAGGCCAGTGCCGCAGTATCACGATTCGGTGTCTCATAATATTATGATTTTTTGACATCAGTATAACTTAAAAAAATTTTGGTACTCAACATACGTACATTTGCTAAGAATGGAGTTGATTTGCAGTGATTTGTGTTTGTCGCGTGTGTTTGTGTTTCACTTACCGTCGTGAATGCATGTGGGGAGGGGGACGCACTTACGCAAAACATATTCGCGGGGAAATAGATTCGCGGTACGGAGGTCCCCGCGAATTCCGCGAATCTAAATATACCGTGGAAATTTGTAGACTTACAGTATTGTCAGGATGGAGATCTAGTAATGTTTGTTTAGGGAGTGGCAGCTGTAGTAAAGAGATTTGAATGGAGAGTGTGTGTTTATAGTTAGCTAGATTACCTAGGTGATAGAGTAATTACTAACTGTGCACTGCAACACCTCGAAGATCGTTATCAAAGTTTGCATCCTGTTGGCAGATGGACTTTCATCTGTGCTTTCTTAATACCTAAGTAGTCATTATTCTTCAGTTTTTAGGGAATGAAAGAGAAAACACACAATTTTGCTTCAATTTACTTATAAGCTCCATACATGGAGTAGCTAGAATAAAATGTTGACAAAGCTAATATCACTTTTGCATGGAGTGGTTACTAAATAGCATTGACATTTGGCTTTCTAGAATTACATGTAACTTTTCGCTCCCTTCCATTCAATGTTGCACCAAAACTGTATTGGTTATAGCACAAGTCAATATGGATATGGGTAACCTGTCAGATGTTCCCATTGCATAAGCTTGACATACATGTATATTATGTGGACACCTTGCAACTTGTAGTATGATTGTTATAACACAAATATTGATCAGTAACAAGATGTGATAGTATAATAAGTCATCTACAAACAGGTAGACACATGTCTGTAGTACTTGTCTTTCTCATAATGGATTGTATTGAATTTCTTTATGAACCATTTTCCTTCATTGTGTCTGTAACAAAATCTTCAATACACATCTTTTAGAATTGACCCTGGGGTCAATGTGAGATCAAATATTGCAAAGTCAGCAAATTATTCACCTTTACAGTAATGTACAAGGGATATGTTATTTTGATAAATGAACAACTAAAGGTCAAAGAAAACTAGTTATATGATATATGACAGTATTATTAATGATCAAAAAAACTTTTCTTATTTTCAGACCAAGAAGGAGACGGTTTATCTGGAAGTGAAGTGGTTTTACAGAACATCGGAGGTTCCTGACTCAGTTTACCATCTTCTGGTGCAGGACAGGAACTCAGAGAACAGTGAGTATCAAACTTACACCTACAAAATCTGTCTAGATCCCATCTAAATTCTAATTCATGCCTGTATACCTCTTTAATCTGTGTCAAGTTTAAGTCAAAATCTATACCACCTAACGCCATTTGTTAGTATTGCTGTGAAGCACTCTTTCTATTTCATGGGTATGGGTGTATAAACAGAATAAACATTTTCTGAGGGCCTGCAAGCCCTTTTTCGTAAGGCGTAATCGGGCCGTTTTAGACTTCGTAATTCATAGGCAGCCTCCGCAAAAATCAACGTAATTCGTAATTGGACATTAGCCGCAAATCGTAAAGTCGTAATCAGCTCTGAAACTTTAAGTTTAACGTAATTCGTAATAGGCGGCCAAAATTTTGCGTAATTCGTAAACACTACCCCCCCTTGCAGGCCCTCTTTTCTGTTGCTTGTGAATGTGGAAAGAATTAGTTAAAATTTCATACACAGCTGACAACTAGTGACCGTTCAGAATACTGCACCATTTCTGCTAATTCCTCCTCACCTCTACCAGGTTCAGGACAAGATTCTGTGATCAAGGAGTCCCTCATGAAGTCCAGGGAACTCTTCATCTCTGACGCCACAGACAGCTATCCTGTGTCTGCTCTGAGGTAAGTACTAATTGCAGTGTAACATCAACATTACTTCATGACAAATTCATGTTTTATTCTTCTGTAACACCAACATGTCTTCATGTTTTATTCTCAAACTAAACCCTCAAAATTGCTGCAAGGAAATCAGATATGTTCAAGTTGACATGGCATCCTGACATGCCATGAAATTAATACCACAGGGCTTAGCATATCAAAACATAATGCAAGAGATTGTTTTTATAAGTATCATAAGTCAAGTCGGGTTTCTTCTTTCCGGATCAAAAAGTATATGTCTCATGAAAAGTGGAACATTTATGGACTTTTTACAGTGTTATATTACATCGTTACTGTTATAAAATAGGCATAGGTAAAATAGGTAGGACGTAATAAAATCCTTATGTCTGTATTTTTCAGGGGAAGGTGCTGTGTGCATCACTATCCTGACATTGTTGCTGCTAAAGCCTTTGATCCAAACCCCAACACCTTTTTCTACATCCTGGGGTACAACCCTGAAACTAGGAGGTTAAACGGCACACAAGGGGAGATTCGAGTCGGCCCCAGTCACCAGGTACAGAACAAAGTCCTATCAATCCCATTGATAGCTGGTTTTGTAGCCGAGGTTTATTTGGAGATCCATATACACCGCACTATCTTCTGTTGCTTTTTATGGTCTGCAAATTCTTTAAAGGAATGGAACAAAGTGATAATGCAGGCATAGATACATGTACGACCACGCAAATGAAATTGGTTTTTTTAAGAGCTTTTCTTTTCTGGCAACCCCTAAGATAAAACTGACAAAGGACAAAAACAAGCCACTAAACTTTGGTATTGCCGTACATTTGTGTATATCTTTTAGCATTGTATATATTTGTGTAGAATTTCATAGAGAACAAAATTATTTTAAACATTTCTTTAAGTCTCAGCAGCAAATGTCACCTGCAAGCATCTTTGTACAAATTTAAGTTAACCAGTTCAAGCATCTAACAGAAATATATTTAAAAGAAATGAACCCCTCGGAAGCCAGTTGGCAAAGGTACAAAGTGCTTTACTGGATTAGTGAATGGGGAAATGCATTATGACATTAATGGTTCTGCAGTTGCTAAAAGTGGCACAACAAATATTTCATAGGAGTACATCATCACTAGCTGCTGGAAGTAGAAATGTTTTGCCATC